CTGTTTGAGTCCTGTGTTCCAATCTGCTTCTGTTTATGGTCATGGAAGTTGTCTCCTGGAGACAAAATTTCCTGGCCTTCCAAACCATCTAATTGACCACAGCTGTGATTTGAGTCTGATGCACCAAAACTTGTTTCCTAAAGTCAAGAAGAGATTACTTTAGGTTTGAAAGGAACAATCTGGTTCACAATGAACCAGGAAAAGGTGAGTGGATAATATTGTGTGATATGATATTTTAAGCAAACAAATTGAAGTAGAAAAAAAAATCTCCAACCAAGGTGACCAACTCTATAAAAGGGGTAAATCTGGATCCATTATGAATATTTTTGGAAGCTACAACATAGTTTTCTTTTCTAACCGAATCTAATATACCCAAATCTGATGAAGTAGCCAAGAAACTGGCTCTGAGGGTAAAATTATATAATTTCCTTCTAATCATGGTATCTTCCCATCGTATATAATTGCTTTTCATTATGCAGGTAGATGATCAAGAACATGAGACCCACGGCTATAATTTAATAATAGTAGATATAAAATGGCATCAGTTTGTGGTAAGTATGACGATCTATTTTCAGTTGGTTGATTAAACAAACATACAAACCTTTCCTCACTAACAACTATACATAGATTAGAAAAGTTTGTGTAAATTATATCTCAAACAAAGAAATCATAAAACACAGAACATTTATTGGATGCATTCCCATGTCAAGATTTTGGGAAGAGAAGATGATGTTAAAGCATTTCTCATTGATATAGAAATATAAGCAGAGCAAAGTTTAAGTCTTAATAAAACCAAGATAACCAATTCCAGATGACAAGAAAACATACTCCATTTCCTGATTCTCCTTGGTGGACAGTAGAATCCAAATCTTTACTTGAGGAGGACCCAAGGCTTTTTGCAAATATGCTACCAGAACTATCTGAGTTGATGTCAGTAGCACTAGAGTCTGCATTCGGATCTTCCTTGTGAGCTATTTCGCTATTTGATTGTTCATCCCTGAGATAGGTGCAATAAGCCTCATGATTTTGTTGAGAACCAAATCTTCTAAAAAATAAAATAAGTTTCACCATATATTTGAAGCAGACCTCATAGCCCTTGGTGTCAAACAGTGAATTGTGACCTGCAAATAAGTGAAACAAGCACAACAGTTTCAGATCAGAATGGAGTGTATTCAACTGTAAGTTGCTTTTATTTTACATTAATATTTCAGTCGAAATTCCAAATTTTTTTCTAAATCTAGCATTTATTTCATTTTAACAGTTGATATATGAGCCCAAGCCATGTCTTCATTAGTTCTTGCAATCACCAATTACTTCTGGATCAAGTTTCACTTGGTCTAGACTCTAAAACAGTATTTTGGTGCAAAAATAAAGAAAACTATCTTTTCCGGGAGCCTATACCAGCATGTTGCTGGTGCCGGCCTTCTGTACTCAAGACAAGCAATAAAATAATCTTAGCCACAGTTGACAGTTTCATTTCACCTGTCAATTGGTGCAAAAACAAAGACCATAAAGACATGACTACTTTTCTAGAAAGCATTGAGGTCTCATAGTAATTCATGAAGCTTCATTTCACTTTAATCTTCCAGTGGTCACCAGTAGTGATAATTTTGGAATATGTATTCGAACCAAGCTAACTTGTTGATCACCATAATCAGAAATCCTTAACAAAGATTTGGAATATGTATTTGAACTAAGCTAAGTTGTTGATCACCATAATTTGGTCAAATGTGCAACTGATTAATCAATAAATTTAGAACTTCTTTGCTAAAAAATTAGCCCAGAAAAAATAATAAACAAAAAACTTACTTGTAATGTTGTCCCGTGACTGCATTTTTTCAATGGGAATGAAACTGGAGCAGGGGAACTTGAACTCATATAACTTGTCATACTGACAGTAGCTTCTCCAAGAATGCCAGATCTAGCTGATCCCTATGTGATTAAAAGTTCCATTTTAGACCAATCTCCTCTGTTGTTGGACATAATAAACAAATAGATCAAAGGATTTGTTTTTAAATAGAGAGTTTACGTGATTCAGTCAAAGTTACTTCCTCCATGGGACAAATGAATCCAGATTCATTATTTAAAAATTCTGAAAACCAGAATGGATATATCTCTCAAACCCTAACCATAATACAACTAAATATTACACACAAACACATGCGTACAAATATATATGAAAAGGGAAAGACCCTATAATATAGTCTTTAATATATAGCTACTTGAAAGGCTCTATTTAATCATGTGAAATCAAAAACATTAAATCTTATTTTTTAATTCTGAGCAACAATCTAATCTTTTTAATGAAGTATGGACAAGAAGCAGAAGAGTCTGTGCAGGTATCTTGTTTTTAAATAACTGAGAGAAAAAAGAAAAAAACTGATAATTCAATTTAGCAAACAGAGTAGTGAACAAAGGATCTACAGGCCACTAATGTCGTTTCATGACAAGAATCTGCAATCAACAAAACAACGAAAATGAAATCATCAAGAACAAAAACTGAAAAACAGCAATATAAACAACGGTTCCATCATGAAAATTACCGTGGCAACAACAAGCTTGAAGAGACAATCGTCCATTCCCCTTGAAGATTCATCATGTACTGAGAGCCAAATAGATTCCGACAAAGTTTCAGTCCACTGACAACTCCCATTGCGCACAAGAGCTTTCCCTGACTTCGCAATGGCCTTCCCGTTCTCTAAAGAGACTATAGATACAGACAACTTGTCCCATCCTTTTGGCACCTGATCACATTATAGCAAAAACCCAAAAACACATTTCCCCCGTTAATTAATTTTCCTTCTAAACAAACAAACAAACAAACACCCATCTGGGCCATTGTTAAACAATACCTACAGCAAAAACCCGAGAACACATCTCCCCCATTAATTCATTTTCCCTTCTTAAAAATTTAAGAGAAGCAAACAAACGCCCATATGGGTGATTCCTAAACGAAAAAAGAAAATACCTGTAGTGCTTTGAATTGAGAGAACTTGAAATCAATTCTCTCTTTTGATCTGGATGGCTTGTTTCTGTGCAACCTGAACATTGTTTTTCCACTTCTCTGTTCCTCCTCCTCGTCTCCTTCTTTGTTTTGCCCTTGTGATATTCTTTTTTATAAGTAACAGTACTGTTTTTATTTCAAATATGATATCAAATCAAACACCACCACAACCATTACGGCAACAATCGTATTATATCGCCAACTAAAGTGTGAAGAGATGGCGCGAGTTAGCTCATTTGTCGTTGTTATGAAGAATGCCTGCTAACTGGAATATTTGTGTGTATATAGTGTCTCATCTAAATTTTATTACTCGCTATAAGTAGTTGACAATTGTACAAAAGCACACGTTGCGTAAAATCATTGGTTTGACTTGGCATTTTTTTGAAAAAAGGAAGTCTCACTTGGCAATGAAATTTGGTTGAGTGTAAATTTTGGGTGAGTGTGGAATTAAATTTGATTCCCCTCGTAAACACAACAAATTAAAAAAAAAAAAAAAACAGAAATAAATTTGACGTTAACAATGGTTTTAG